CTTTTTGTGTGTGTGTGTGGTGGGGGGGAGGATCTTTGTGGAATAGTTAACACTATAGTAGAGTCTTAAAGGAACAGAAGGAATTAGCCATATACAGACAGGCAGTTTCAGAAGAATATACAAAACCTTAGATTAACAAAAGGCACACAGAGGTTGTTAAATAAATTTGTTAAATAGAAATTCATTGAGCATATATTGTTTGCAAGTCACTTTTAGGTAGTGAAGGTATGGAATGGGGACAATAAAGAAACTGCACGAGACTATAACATCAAGATACCTTTTAATTATGGTAAATTAGCAACGGCATAATCTTTCACGAGTCAGGTAACATAGTAAGGAGATGTATAAAAAACACTGAAGGAAATGCAAGGACAAATTGACAAGAACACAATGGAAAGAACTTCAGAGCCCCGCTCGACCCCTTCACAACACAAGCAGATAAAATCTGAAGAATATAGGGTCTGATCTAATAGGTATAGAATCTAATAGACATAGAATAAGTTCTACACCCTTCAGAGACTCATCTTTTCAAGTGCCAACATAATATCTATGACAATTGACTATGTTAGGCCACAAAGAGAAGCTCAAAAAACTCCAAAAAGTAGAAATAATATTATCTACATTCTTTGATTACAATGAAATAAAATTAGAAATGAGATAAAAGAAACATTTTTTTTTAAACAGCCATTTAGAAATGGCTTTAAATTATCTCCTAAAAATCTCATGGGTGCCTGGCACCTGGTGGTACACTTAGGGTAGGAGTCCACTTCACAGTCTCCACTGAGATGGGATGTATAAAACTGCAAAAATGTTGCTTCCACCCTAACAATTAGAATAGGCCAAGTAATCTACAGAATCATAACTTTTCCTGAGTCTAGCAGAGAGCTGAGTTTGCAAGGCAACCAAAGCATAACAAGCTCCTCCAAGAAGAGATGAAACATATAAACTATTATCTGTGAAAGAGCACAGGGGAAAGAAGTGGCCATCATACAAACGGGTAAGAATAAATCAGCTAAAACTTTAACAAAATTTTAAAAGCCAAGTGTGGTCTAAGGGTCATTTTGGAGTAGCTAGAGCCCCAGAAATAAAGAGAGTTCACATTCACTCAAAAGTCTTTTTCCATGGGCCTCTGAGGGATGCTCAGAAAGATGGAGGGCCAGGCAGGAGGACAGAGAGAGCCCCTTTGGTAGCACCAGCATGCAGGAAGTGACTGGCTGCTGCTGGGGGACAGGCAGCAAGCCCCGCCCTCTTCCCCATGACCCTTCTTTGCTACTCTCTAGCTCCTAGTGTTGTTGGATGCCTGGGGCAGAAAGTTGTTAATAAATGTCTGTTGAATGAATGAATATATGAAAATATTCTCTTAACAGCTGTCAGAATAATGTATAATAAAAGCAGTTCAAAATTAAATTGTAGGGCCGGCCCCGTGGCTTAGTGGTTAAGTGCACGTGCTCTGCTACTGGCGGCCTGGGTTCGGATCCTAGGCATGCACCGACACACCGCTTCTCCAGCCATGCTGAGGCCGCGTCCCACATACAGCAACTAGAAGGATGTGCAACTATGACATACAACTATCTACTGGGGCTTTGGGGAAAAAAAAGGAGGAGGATTGGCAATAGATGTTAGCTCAGAGCCGGTCTTCCTCAGCAAAAAGAGGAGGATTAGCATGGATGCTAGCTCAGGGCTGATCTTCCTCACAAAAAAAAAAAATAAAAATAAAAAAAATTAAATTGTTAATTTTTTGAGAAGATTTTTTGTTATAAAAACAATATATGCTCACAACAAAAAAAATACAGATTAAAAAGAAAAGAACATCTCTTTCACTCACCTAGAGACAACCATAGTTAATTTTTGTACATAAACAGGTAAACATAGAGAACCTCAAATGTGTGTGATATTTTATATTCATAATTTAATTTTAAAATGGTTTATATGGCATATACTATGCATTTTCTCCCATTTGTCAGTATTTCAAAAATATCTTTCCATGTCAGCAGATACACGTACACCTGCATAATATTTCATTACATAGATGTACCCTAATTTCTTCCTTTTCAAAATCAATTTTAGTCAACAATCCCTCACTGAAGGACATTATGACGACTTCTAATTTTTTAATGTTTATTCGAGCCAAAGAAGGGGAGGGAGTTGTCAAAAAGTCACTCCACAGTTTAAATCCCGATAATTGAGAAAATGAATTATATAATGAAAATCTTTGAATACTATGCTTAAGAGTCACCAGAGGAAGCAAAGCTGCAGTCTGAGAGAAAGGCTTTTACGTCATAAAGAAAGAAACAAAACGAACACACTGATAAAGCTTCCCAAATTGTCCATCAAAAATGACCAAGGCTTATGGCAGACCTGGCTTCTGGATTGATGATGTGAATCTACTCATTCGTTTTACTTAAGAGAAAAACAGAAAAAAAGTATCTGTCATAAGATCAATAAGCCCAGAGTAAAAAATAAGTTTCCTGAAACAAATGCAGGATGATAAAGAATTTCATAAAATAAAAACCAGAGATTCTTTCTTCTATAGACTTTCAAAACACTGAAAATAGCACCATGCAGTTTTTGTTTTTGAATAGGAAGAAAATGTGGGTGAAAGTCTTTAGAATGAAGGAATAGGGAAGATTTTTCTAAGCATGCCACAAAAATGTGAACACAAAAATTAACTCTGTATGACAACAACCCAACAGGCTGAAATAAATGAAAAAAATTGAAAAAAATACCTGCAACATCAGACAGTTTAATAATTAGTATTTCTTAATATACAAAGAGTTATTACCAGCCAATGAAAAATCAAAACGACTTCCAAAGAGATAAATGAGCAGAAGACAAGAAAAAGCAAATCAAAAAACAAATAAATATGGCCAATAAACATATGCAAACTGTTGAACCTCAGAGAAATTAAAAAGATTGACAAAATGCCATCTTGGTGAGGCTGCTCATGCATGGAAGTCAATGTAAACTGACACAGCCTTTCAGAAGGACAATTTGCAACAAGTATCAAACTATGAAGTATATATATCCTTTGAGTCATTAATCCTACTTCTAGGAATTAACTCTAAGAAAATAATTATATACTGGACTATTGCTTATAAGAAAAAGAAAACAAACCAACTGTCTATGAAGGGAAAATCGGTGAAATAAATTATGGTACATAGACACACACAACAGAATACTATGTAGCTATTAAAGAATGTTGACAGGAGCTCTACATTCATTACTATTGAAAGCTATCCATGAAACTGTAGGGTTTTCAACAAAAAGGACATTAGAGCATAGAATTATATTCTTATAATGTCTTATTATATCTTATTAATGTCAAATGGTTACATAGATTGGTACAAAGAAATGTCTGAAAGGACAGTCACCAAAATGTTAACAGTGAATTCTGGTGATTTTTACAAACTTCATGATATTTTTCTGGACTTAAAAAAAATAATAAATGTGTCATCTTTGCAAAAATAAGAGACTTATAAATTATGACAGACTCAACTGTTCTATTACCAACAAGACAGATTTTATCTATGTCTAATTTGGTTCTCAAGGCCAGCTGGCTGTTTTATGTTTGCTTTTATAACTGTGGTGTAACAAAGAATTTGTATTGTCTTTGTCCTGGGATCCCAGCAGGTGCTTTAGAAACCCTTGGAATTTCCTGAGTGATGGTGTCTATTATGCTGAGGTGACTCCTGGTGGGCTCCTGGATAGCTTCAGGATGGAGACTTTCAGCCACTGACCTTCAGGGGGTGCTGAAGACTGATTTCAATGACATGGTCAATGATTTAATCAATGATGCCTGCATAATGAAAACCCAATAAAAACTTTGGACACCAAAGGTCAGTGGAGCTTCCTGGTTGGCAAAGACAATGATGTTCCAGGAGAGTAATGTACCCTGACACCACAGGGAGAGGGCATGGAAGCTCTGTATTCCTTCCCAGATCTCACCCTATGTGTATCCTTTATAATAAAACTGTAATAGCACTTTCCTAAGTTCTGCGAGTCATTCTAGTGAATTCTCAAGGCTGAGAGGGGTAGTGGGACCCTCTTGGGTTCCAAGTTGGTCACAGGTATGGGTGGCTGGGGGGAACCTCCCCTCTAGACATGCGGCTGAAGTGTGACATAGGGGCCATCCTGTGGAAGACTGCTCTCAACCCATGTGGTCTGCACTAACTCCAGGATGTTACTGTCAGGATTGAACTGCAGCACACACAAATGATGTTGGACCAGTTAGGCTGACACAGAACATTAACCATCCTAAGTAATGATAAAATACTATTTTCTATATAACTGATACTTTTGAGAGTAAAGCAAATGTCATAATCTGGTAAATGGCTAATAGCTTTGTTGATCAGGTTTTATGATTTTTCTACCATAAACAATAAAATGCAAGATGTTTATCCTTCTTGGGTACCCAAATGCCTCCTTATCTGTGCCATTCATGCAGCTCTCTCAAGCTGAACTCCCACACCACATGTACCGCTATTAAAGCACTCCTTACTGTGTGCTGCATTTGTCTATGCCTCTCTCTCATATGCTGTACTGTGAATTCCAAAGCAGGGACTACCTCTTATTCACCTTTGTATTCTCAGAGCCTACCACAGTGCCTAGAGCACGGCAGATGCCCCATAAGTTTGGTGAATGAATAAGTGAACAAAACAGCTCTGTTCATAAAAATCACTCCTGTGAAGGAAAGCGCTTGAGTGGGTGCTTTGGTTTGAAACTTCAAAGTCATTTTGGACTCTTCCCTCTCTATATTCAATTAAATACTGTGTCTGGTAGATCAAAGAGATACGTGAACTCTGCAGGGAAATAGTAAATAAAAATAAGAATTCCTTTAAACACAAAAAGAAAAGAGGATGGTGTCAAATATTTTTTTCCCTTCTCTTAGATCTTTGTGGTCTCTTATTATGACAGAGCATCAGAAATTTAATGTTTGAAAGACTAACTTTTCTTCCCAGTCAGAATACTATTATCCTTTTTATAACAACTTATTCACTTACCTTTTAACCTAGCATCGCCCCCAAAGGCACCACAGCCCCAGTTTCCTGTGGCCACTGCAGAAAGATTCTCTGAAGAAACTCCAGGACGGAGAAATCCACAGTAAGCCTGCAGGATAAAAGAAATATCAAAGCACATGAGTGACTAGACACTAGCAGTATTTCTGACTGATGTACTAGGATCAGTATCCATTATGAAGCTTATGTTATCTCTCTCTCTCTTTTCTTTTTTTCTCAGGGGCCAAAATAGAAGGAAAAACAGAAAAGCCTAGGATTAAGGAAGAGAGTAAGAAAAGATCAATTCTAATATTTATTTGTCCTGATGCTGGGCAAATCAAAGCCCTTAAACCAATACAGGTCTCAGTTTCTTTTTCCGACTCAAATATAAATATCAGATATACCAAGAACTTATGGGATCCCAATTACAAACTACCCAGGAACTAAAGAGAGTAAAGGCACTTAAGACACTGTTTTATTTGAAGGCTTTTTGACCACCAGTTTTTCATCAATGTAAAGAGTTATTACTATTATGCTTCCTCAGCACTCTCTCTGAGTTACTGGGACTAGATTAATAACTGTCATTAGCTTTTAATGTGCTTCCTGCCACTGAACAATGAGCTTAACAATGAGCAAGCAACTATACATGAAAGGGATTCCTATACCTGATTACAAAATAACCTTTAAGATCCCTTCTAGCTCCAAGATTCTCTAGTTTCACAGCTCTGTTTTGAGCTACAGTATTTAAGAATTTGCCAGTAACCTGAGAAAAAGCACAATATATCCTGAGGATGGTGGCTAAGCAGTAATTAAACAAACAGCTCATTTTGTATATGAGAAGGCTGCAGTTTAAGGTCCCAGAGCTTCTGATTTCCATTTCCTTTTGTCAGCCTAGTTGGTCTTTCTGCCTCCTAAGGGTTCTTAGTTTTCTGAAGCTATCAGACTATATTAAGATGTTTAATATAATAGCAAAGGAAAATCCCCTGGGTTCTCTCAAGTACCAAACAAAACCTAAAATATAGCTTATGTACATAGTAAATAAAATAAAAAGAATGATCTGTGACAAATGTTCCCAGAGAAAAAGCGAGGATAAAGAAAGATGCTTCTGTGAAACCTCCACATGGAAATATAGTAAATTGCTCTCTGCAGTTCCCACAAAGGTATAAAAATTTATTTTACACACTGTCTGGATGGATTAACAAGGCCATTCCTTCTTCCTCCTCCTAGGCTGTAAATCCTGAGAGATATTAATTATAAGTTGGTACCAGACCATTATTCAATGCTGAGGTACAGTGCTTACACTAGAACTTACAAATTACCTGTATAATCAGATGCATGGAGCTTCTGAAAATCTCTTTCAGGTCAAAAATACCAAGAAGCTCACTTTTTTTTGAGCAGGTTCTTGAAAGATATAGAGTCTCTGCCTTTATGCCAACAAGGGGGAGAACAAACTCTGCCACTTTGGTTTCCTGTCATATTCTCCTAACATGTCTAGAAGAGGAAGATTTCTAGCCTCCTAGTTCGTATCACCTCTGTTTTATACCGTCAGAATGGTTTTAGTCCCTTCCTTACTGCTATCTCTACATATCTAGGTTAACTTTTCTTCAACGAGCAAAAATAGCTTATTGAAACTAAAGTCTAACTACAGAGAATTTGAAATATTTAGATTATGAGAAGCAAAATCTAATGTGAAGTATTAATCAATTTTACTAAAAAAATCTATCTTGAAAAATGGCAATAACAAAAACAAACTATAAAACTGAAATTAACCTGCATTTGGTATTTTGATAAAATCAAATCAAATAAAACTTCAAAAAGTTAATCATAGAAATTAAATGATATAAAATAATTACATAGTAATTAGGTATAAAGAATAACTGTTTATAATGACTAAATACAAAATTCTTTTATTTTGTTAAAACCAAGCATTTCCAAGGTCAGAAATAAGAGAGAAGCAGCAAGCTCCTCTGGAGGGAACAACTCAGGTTTTTCCCTTCTCCAGTAAGAAGAAGGATCTCTCAAACGCTAGAGCCCAGAGCATTAATCAGGGAATCATTTCCTCTTACAGTAGTAACTGAGCTCCTTTAGTAAGAAACAAAGATCAGATAAGGAGAGAGATCTCAAAAGAGTTGCCAAGATCTCACTTCATAGGGAAAGGTACTAGGAGTTCTCAAGAGTTCCACACTGGCAACAAATACTTGACTTTTTCCCTACCCTGAGCCAGAGCACTTGAGGAGATTAATCAGAGCAGTAAGAGTAAAAGAAAGCCAGCTCCAACTCTAGCCACATCCTGACCTGACATTCACCAATGACAGAGCTATTTATTTTTATTAATAAACAACTTTAAAGGGGAAAAAAGAGGAAGTATTCATATCTCAGGAAAGTAGAAGATATCAATGAACACTCATATCTCAGAATGAGTTCTGATGGCAAGGGAAGAAGAGAGGGATGATAAAGGTAATCGGAATTTTTTTTTTTTTTCTTGTGAGTAAGATCAGCCCTGTGCTAACATCTGCCAATCCTCCTCTTTTTTTGCTGAGGAAGACTGGCCCTGGGCTAACATCCGTGCCCACCTTCCTCCACTTTATAGTGGACGCCGCCACAGCATGGCTTGCCAAGCAGTACGTTGGTGCGTGCCCAGGATCCGAACCAGCGAACCCCGGGCCGCCACAGTGGAGCGCGTGCACTGAACCGCTTGTGCCACTGGGCCGGCCCCTAATCTTGGAGTCCTGAAGGCTGCAAAGGGGAGCTTTGAGAAGCAAGAGGCAGGAGGAAAATATTGGTATCTAGAGCCAAAAACTAGAGCCCAACTGGGAAGGAGTGAAGATAGAAAAGGAGGAAGGACACAAAGTGAAAAAGGAAACAAAGAAAACAGTCGTAAAAACCTACAGGCCCAGACGTGGGCCCGGGAAATAGATGGAACTCAGGGGAATGGTCTGTCACAAACATCCATGTACACATGTGCATGAGCACACACCCACACACTTAAGTAGGAACTCAGGCTTCAATTTTAGCAGGCCCAAGTAGATAAAATTAAACTATATCTTTCATTATCATGTAAGTACATTATACTGCTTGCTAGATTAATAATTTAACAACTATTGTTTCTAAAGAGTTACTTTTTTATATGAAGCCAATCTACCGCACTTGTCTAACTTAAATTAATACATAATTGGTATTAATACTGGTTTCCTGAGATTTTAGAATATTGTGATTTCTTAAAAACAAACATAATATGAAAAGATCCTTAAGAAACTTTTGGAAGAGAATAATAATATTAATTAAAAGTCTTAAAATTATCCATAGATTCAGTAATAACAATTTTGTAAATTTTTTCTTTTGTAAATTTCCTTGTTATTTGATTAAATAACAACTGTATAAAGATGTTTATTACTACACAATATAGTATACAGAAAAACTTGGGATCACCTAATTGTTCAAAAACAGTAGTTAAGTCATAGTATATCAGTCCAACCAATTTTATGGACATTAAACATTTTATTAGGAAGATTATTAGAAAGTAAGAAAAATATTTACAATATATGGTTAAATTAAACAGCCAAAATATAAGCTTATAGGTTACTTCTGAGCACATTTATATGAAACTAAATATTCATGTGGAAAGACCTACAAAATGAAAACAACTATTCGAAAGGTAGGATTACAGATGACTTTTTGTCTTTATTTTAATAACATTAGTAAATTGATTCTGCTTTTTAAAAATGCAATATAAAATAAAAGTACTATGCAGACCTTAATTTCCTCATGTGTGAAATCAAAGATTGGTTTAGGTATCTCTATGGTAATTCTGATTCTGTTTATTGAGAGACTTAAGAGAAAAACCCACTAAAAATGATACATTCTGAAATAATATTCCCAAAAAGTAAAGCGACACATACTTTAAGAGAAGATTATAAATGTTCAGATATCGAACTTCTTAGAAACATCAGGAGCAAGTATTGATTGGTTTTGTTAATCAAGCTCTGGTTTAGTGACAAATCTGGTGATAGGTAACAACAAAAAATCAATAAACAAATCAATTTTTAAAAAGGTAAATGGTGGTGATTTCCTGCTGAAGTGATCTCTTCACTTGGTTAAATTTCTGATCCAACAGCCTCCACGAAATATATTCATTACTGAATATTACCTGAATGAGTCTAACATGGCTAAATACAACTTTTCACAGATGATTTCTTTCATCCTTTCCTGAGCTATTTCCCACTTTTGCAAGCTGGAGTCATAAATCTTTCCAACCACAAAGATAATTCTCCTCTAGAATGTCACCCAGCTGATCTCTCACAGAATTAAACATTGCTTCAAAGTGTCAGTTAGATTAAGGAGACTGAATCCTTCCTTTTAAAAACCAACTGTATTTGCAGGTCAAGATTCGGGTCCAATAGGATAGGTAGAGCCTGCATGGAGCAGACTGTTTCCAGAGGTAATAAAGCACTTTGTGGGACTGCTCTTTCAATTATTATCTGGTGAGTCATGCCTAAAAGTAGCAAACAGGACCCTAGAGTTCAGAGATCCACACTGAATTCTGACGGTGAAAACTGGTCTTATGCTCTGTTGCTTGATTTAGAGAAATAGAGATTTTCTATTCCTGCTTACTTTCTCTCTGGCATGCCAAAAAGAAGTAGAATCATGCAAGTCATCTCCAAAGTGATTTAATATAGACTCTGCTTTAAACCTTAGTTTACAAAACACAATGAGATGTAAAACATTTAATTTAACATTCTCTCCAAGCTGTGCTGTCAGCTAATGTAAAACTCCCTGTTGCTTGTACTAAAATTCACAACTCTATTTTAATAGGTAAATGTAACTAATAAATGACGGAACGCTTTAATTTAGAAGGCCCAAAGTTATTTGGATTAATTTTCTAATTAAGTTGTCAATGACATTTAAAAATATTATTTACTGCTTTCCTCTTTTTCAGTGAAAGAATTAGAAAACTAATTCTTTGCTAAAAGAGCAAACGTTTTGGAATATAGTAGTGAATGAACCAACACACATTTATCAAATGCCTTCCCGTGTGCAGGCCCTGAACGAGGTGCTTTCTGAATGTAGCCCATGTGTTGATGGGCTACTTTACAGCTGGGCTATTTCTTTGTCTCATGGGAATTTAATAAATATGCTGGGGGAGGTAATCCTCAAATTTCCTTGAAAAAGTATGTCAAACAGAAAAGAATATTGAGAAAAGCATTCAACTGGCAATCTGCTCACAGTACAGGATTATGACTGAAAGAGAAGAGGTAACCCAGGCATATATGCTTATAGGAGATCACATGTTAACCAAATGTGGGAATATTCTTAATGTTTTAAGAGTGGAACAGGTAAAAAGTCTGGAAAGACAGATCTAGTTAAAGTAATCTCTATGCGAGAGGAGTTACATTTTTAAAAACTAATTTGAAGGCAGGGGAACCTGGATTCAAGTCCTGACTTTGTCACTGCCTATCTGTGTGACCTGGGGCAAGATATTCAACTTTCCGAGGCTCAGTTCACTGTCTCTAAATTGGAGATAAGAACTGTATCTACACTTCCCTGGGTGGTTAGGATTAACCAGACCAAGCATTTAAAGTGTTAAATAGAGTGCCCAGCATGTAGTATGCAATCATTTAACATTAGCAATTACTTTTACTATTGTTACGTGTACAATTAAAAAAACTTCTACCGCCATTTGACTGAAAAAAATCTTTTATGAAATATAAATCAGACTTAATCGCATACTGACATAAATAATGGCAGGCTGAAAACAGAGAACTACATTACTATACATTAAAAATCAATGCATCTGCTTTATGTGGTTTCATCTGCTCCACATTTGAATTGACACTGAACTTAACAGGCTTTATTTAGCACATGAAGCATATTTAGGAAACAGCCATAAATTTGTAACGATTTGAGATAACGTATTTATATCTAAAAAGTTTAACTTAAAAAACTGTATTAGTAATATCTAAGAAGTTTAATTAATCACTGACTAATTCATTTAACAAATATTTTTGAGAAATTCCCATAAGCAAAGCAATGTGGTAGGCACTGACCAATTAGAATGAAATAAAAACTTCTGTTGCCAGGTTATTTAAAGACTCATTCTTTTTGTGTAAAGTGTGTCTCATAAGGACTCTATATTCTACAAATAAATGTTTTCCAATGTTACATACAACTAACTTCATTCTACAAATAAATGTTTTTCAGTGTTATATACAACTAACTTAACCTATTCACATATACCAATGCTTCATGTCTTTAAAATTTCTGGTGTCTCTGAGGACGGATAAACTGAAGGTTAGTGCTATACCAATAAATATAGAGAACATCAATTGGCCATGGGGAATTAAAAAAGAAAAGATTTATTTATGTCTAGGGTTATCTTTTAAAAAGATCATATTTGCAGATAATTTCTAAAAGTGAATGATCTAGTTCCTACAGAAAAGTATTTGTGGGAATATAGACTTCATCCATGAAAACAAGGAACCTTTAAATTTGTGTTAATGTATGATTATGGTTAAACACATTTCCTTTTCATATACTTCTCTCCAAACTACCTACTGCTTATATAAATGTCTTCTAGTATCAATGACCATGTGATAAATTCATAACATATACATGTTTAATAAGTAACTCCAAAATCTAAAGATAAATCTTCTTACTCTACTTGCTATGCCATATAATAAAAATATCACATGCTTGGAGACAACTGCTTTAAGGCAAGAGTTTAGAACAGTGCAAGCAGGCTTACATTTAAAATGTACCTAATATAATAAAAGGTATTCTTCAGTACAGGCAAATGTCCGACTTTCAGAGTCAGGTAAAAGAGAAAAATTATCACTGTTGATATACCAAAGAACAGTCTTTCTGGATAGCTTTCTAAGGAATTACTTAAAAAAAAAAACAAACATCTGTTATTCAAGTTCGACTTGGGAAAATAGTGCATTTACTCTTCAAACTTTTTATGAGATTCCTTTGAGAACTCTAAACATTAAAATAACCTAAATAAATTATATATAAGAAAACATGTTAAACAATAAATTAGATTCTAAAGTAGATTAGGATATAAGATAATAAATGTAATTATATTCAAAATATCTACTAAGTTGTAAGTGTAGGAGAAGCCTTTCTGGATTATTTGGTTGTTTACATACATAATGTTTATAATACTACAAGCAATATGAAAAGCAAGATGGTTGAGCTGGGATAAGGAGAGCACCACAGAGACTGCTCCTGTGGTAAGACCCAGGGAAAAGATGTGAAGACGATGTACTGAAGGCCACACATTCCGATCCAAGGGCATTCCCAATCCTCTTGTAATGGTACACCCAGTGCTGTCATTATCAAAAGTCTATGTAGGGACTGACACAGGTATAGCCATGCAAAACCATAAACCTCACTATCTTAATAAACAATCTCATAATCAAATCCTACTTGTGGGAGTTAAACAATGGTTTTCATAATTGGGTCAGTCTTCTTGGCTATGAGAGTAATTTGAGGAACTAAAGAAAATACCAACTGTTTTGGTAAGGTCCTAAATCTAGAGAATAGAATCAGCACTCTGTTGTACGATAGAGTTTATTTATTATGGTTAACAGTAGTGAAAATCTGAACTAACAACAGGTATGGCTCATTTTTATATTTCTGTAATACAATAAAAAAAGGAAAATGATTATAGTAGATAGCACTAAGCGTCACAGAAAATCATAGATTCCATCATAAATATGTCAAATTACCAAGTCAATTAAACAATTTACATGTGAATCTTACCTATAATAGAACAATCTAACTTGTTCTCAACTTTTTTGGTTTATCTGTTTTAATCCTGAGAGCATACCTTGCAGAGAAAACGTCATTTGGCAGGTCTGAAAAAAATTATCAGGGCTCAATCATTTCTATATGGTTTTACAATGATAATGTTCCAAAGCAGCTAAAAGTACTTGATGAGATAAATGCATGTGTGGGGCTTAATATCAAGCAACGGTCTATCTGGCATCAGTAATCAAACAATTACAAAATGGAAAGTACATCTTGTACAAGCTGACAGACCATTAAATCAAGAGAGCTGTGGGCAGACATACTGACACTGCAAGAATTACCAGAAAGCATTAATTTCAGCATTAATAAAATGGCAGTGAATAGATGACAGCTGCCAGATGAACTAAGAAATAAGGTTACTGGCCTTGTTAAGCTCGCGTCTGATTTTCTCAGGCACAAACTGGTCGAGGTAGCGTCTGAAGTGAAGGGCATCGATGGCGACGATTTCAGTGCCACGCCGCTGCCAGTCATCCCTAGGGCAGGACAGAGCGGGGTCCGATGAGGAACGGGGAAAGGCACTCACAAAATAAAACCTTCATGTGGTCAGATTTCTGAGACTTTGGCAGGGTTAAAATATTAAAAACCAACCAACAAATCAGTGGCTATAGGTCTCAGAAAAATAGGAGGGCAGAAAGAACCATTTTATTTTTAGATTTCAAGGCATACACATTGTGGACTGCCAGGCATTAAACAGTAAAATAAAAAATTATCGAGAGACGATAAATACGATGTATTGTAAACAAGTACATCATTTACAGTGAGTCTCAGAGGTTAAAGGATTTAGGGGCAAACAAAAGGAACTTACTTCTTTGTTCTCCTCTAATACTAAAGACCTGGCTGGTATTTGTATCTCTACAAGAGCTCGTTCCTCCTCTGTTTTGAAAGACTTGCTCTAAATCACTGGGTTTGTAACATCGTCATACATTGCTCAACAAATAACCCCAAGAAGTCAAGTGTTACAAAAAATGTGTAATGATTCAGTACAACATTCTACCTACTGTGCTCAATTGCTGACTGTGCAGAACTATTTTTAAAAAGACAAAGACAGCAAAGCAGACAAAAACACATTGCTTGTGTAAATAGGAACGACCGGGTGAGATGATTTTGGAAACGTGAAATTCCAAATGTCTCATCTCTTTATAAACTTGCATATATTGATATGCCAAGCAACTTTTCACACTGAAGAACAGCAGTAGAAACCTTCATGTTAGTCTGTAAATAATTATCAGGAATTATCCACACAGATAATTGTTGCAACCACATATTTTAACCAAAACAAAGAGAAAGAGACCAGGGGCTGGACTTGAGATATTACAAAGAATAAGTTTGTACCGCTACATGGGCAATAGCTGATTCTTTCTGCCATGATGACTCTTTTTCATTAAAACACACACACACAAGCTTTCAGGCACCATTTCTGTAAAAATTTACCTCTGGTAAACCAATTTAGTGGGGATGCAAGGATATCAAAGTATAAAAATATATTTCAATAAGAAATAGAAGACGGGGCCGGCCCTGTGGCTTAGCAGTTAAGTGCGCGTGCTCTGCTACTAGCGGCCCGGGTTCGGATCCCGGGCGCGCACCAACGCACTGCTTCTCTGGCCATGCTGAGGCCACGTCCCACATACAGCAACTAGAAGGATGTGCGACTATGACATACAACTAACTACTGGGGCTTTGGGGAAAAAAAGGAGGAGGACTGGCAATAGATGCTAGCTCAGGGCTGGTCTTCCTTAGCAAAAAGAGGAGGATTGGCATGGATGTTAGCTCAGGGCTGAGGTTTCACACACACACACACACACACACTCACACACACACAAAGAAACAGAAGACAGCAGCAGCAACGTTCATTGTAGGTTCTACTGTCAACTGCTTTGTGGCATTAGGCAAACTGTCCCAACATACGTTTCCCCAACCTACCAAATCTCACAGAAAAGTTAAAGATAACTAAATAAGCTAGTTACAGGCGTTAAGCTCTAATTAGAACCTATTCTAAATAAGTTTGGCCTTGAAAGTTAACCTCTACTGATTGCTTACAAATGGCAGCTAAGAGGTAAAGAACTGAAGGGAGCTCTGTCCTTCTTGTTCTTTTTTTTATTGCTTTTTTTTTTTTTTTTTTTTTGTGAGGAGATCAGCCCTGTGCTAACATCTGCCAACCCTCCTCTTTTTTTGCTGAGGAAGACTGGCCCTGGGCTAACATCCGTGCCCATCT